AGCCCCCCGCCCCCCACCCCTGGGCCCAAGGGTAACCTAGAGCAGCCTGGAGGCTGCCCCAGCAGGCGTGAGCTCCTAGGGCCGTGCTGCCAGCGATGCTGCTGGAGCACGAGGCCGTCTGAGCAGCCCACCCCACGGGCCCTGGCTCCCGTGGTGGAGGAGTCAGGCTCTGGAAAACAAGGGTCTCTTTATGGACACTCCTACCAGGTCCGCGCTGCCGTCCAGGTCCGGGTGAACGATGCCCTGCAGCGAGGAACCAGTGGAAATCCCGACTTTGCTGCAGGGAATTAGAAAAGAAGTAGAGCAAAAGAAAGGCAAGGACGAAAGGGCTGAAAGGGACCTGGGCCATGTTCCTGCATGCACAGCCGCCCCACAGGGGCAGTCCAGCCCAGGACCATACCAAGGGCTCCCCTGCAGCTCACGCCCGCAGTGAAAGGCAGAGAGGGAACGGTTGCAGCTAGCCCTGGATTTCATGGTCTCCATGACACCTGCATGAGGTCAGACTTTCCATCTACAGGGTCAGCATCTGCCCCGTTTTCCTGTAGCTTGCTCCATCCTGGTTTGATGCAGGCAGTGCACCAAGCAGTGCACCAGGCACATTGCTCTGGGGCTGGACTCTTGGTCAACCCTCCTGAGAGCAACAGCAATGCTGCCAGGAGGATGGGCATAACACGCCTGTGTCGAGGGACATGTGTGGCCAGGTCACCCGGGCAGGCACCAACACCTGGAAATGCTCAGGAAAATGAAGCGAGCAGGCAGGAAGTTTAACAACAGGAAGACCTTTTCGCCCAGCGTGGCATTAAAGTGCGGGGTTGCAGCCACCAGACGCAGTGGAAGCTGACAGTAGCCAGATTCGCAGAGGGGTTAGGCACGTGCTCGGAGGAAAGGGGCATCGGTCGCTCAGGAGTGAGGGGCACGGCCTCCGAATCAGAGCTTCCACCCAGACCTTAATGCTGGAGGCTGCAAGGGAGCGAGGAGCAGGGAAAGCCCAGGTCAGGCCCAGTCCCTCTGGGCAAGACGGATCTAGGGCTGACCCAGTCCATGGCAGCTCTGATGTCTGAATGCTCTTGTGAAAAGCTCACTGCCAGCATCTCCAGTGGCACAGTGTCCCCCGTGCCACGCCGGGGAGCCGGTCCCGCACTGACCTTCCTTGTGAGGGTTGGCAGGGAGGTGCAACGGCTGAGGGGCTTTTTGTCCCCCGCCCCCCAGGCAACCCGGCTGCGCGCTGCTCACCGCTTCGCTCTCAGCCCGATCTCCTGCAGGATGGCACCAACTTTCCCCGCCGGCTTCAGGAGGTTTTTTTGCAGACGCTTTAACTGGTCCCCGGCATACTGAAAAGTGTTGTCGGAGGTCAGAAGGGCACCACACGCAAGCTAGGGCTGTCTGCAGAGGGCTGCTCTCATCTCCAGGATGAGACACGAGCGACAGGCTCCTCTGGACTCGGGATCCCCGGGGTGCACCCGATGGCTGTGCAGCCCGGGAACCTGCAGCTGAGCCACGCAGCGCCCCGGTGCAGGGCACCGTCTGCTCAGAGACATCAAAGCACGTCTGTGAGCTGGGGGTCGCCCGCGTCCCTCCTGCCCGGCACGTCCGCCACAAGGACAGTCCCCCTCCTCCAGACGGGGGGGAGGCTTAACCGTTGTCACCCCCGTCAAGGAAAGCAAAGGGCTAAGCGTGCACAAGGCCCACAGCTGGTTCTTCGCGCTCAGATGTGACCTGGGGTCCCAGAGCGGGGGGCTCGTGGGCTGCAGACCCCGCACAGCCCACCACCCGGGTGCCCCCTGCACGGCTCCTCCAGGCAAAGGACGTGCTGGGAGTTGGCGCCCGCCCTCCCGCGCGCCCAACAAGCGCTCTGCTCCGGTGCGGCCCCTCGTTTGCTAACGAGCTCCCAGGGCCCGGTGCTGCACACGCTTACTCGCGAGGGGGCTCGGGAACTAGGAACGACACGCAGCTCTGGTGCAGGACCCGGGGGCTCTCACGCAGCGCTCATGCATGGGGGCAGAGCGCAGTAGGAGGGAGGACCGCTGCTGTGGCCTGCGTCGCCACGATGGGGGCAGGTCTGGCCCAGGTGACACGGCGAGGCAGTGATGGCACGGGCTCAGGCAGACAGCTCTGCCCCCACCCCACCCAAGACAGGGCACTGTGCTCCTGGCCCCTGCGTGCCCTCCCCTCCCCGTCCTGCTCCCTGGAGAAGCTAGTGTGGGACACGGCCCGCAAGTCATTACCTCGATGCCCGCCAGTGCCACAAACAGCCGCAGGATGTCATTGGTGCCCTCGAAAATCCGGAAGATCCTCAGGTCCCTCATGACCTTCTCGACCCCAGTCTCCTGCGCGCACAGAGACCAACGATGGGCCCCGGGTCCCAGCTGGGGCAGGCCCCGCGGCCCCGCTGCTGCTCACCTGCATGTAGCCCATTCCTCCAAGCACCTGGATGCACTCGTCCGTGACGTGCCAGGCGGCCTCCTAGGGAAGGGAGCAGCACAGTCTGCAGAGGGAAGGCGTCCGACCCGGGCGGGCTCGCTCAGGTGCCCCAACCCAGCCGCCCGCCCTGAGCGCGTGCCCTGCGCTGGCGCGGCCAAGGGCTGCGGTTGTGCTGCCGTGGCAGAGGGTCACCGCTTACAAGCCATGGGGTTGCCAGGCTTGGGGCTGACCCCACCAGCACTTGGGGTGACCGCTGTGCCCGGCGAGGGGCTGCAGGGAAGCCGGCTCCAGCAGCAACGGCCTAGTCACGCCTCGGGTCCCTGCTGCAGGATCGCAGGTGCCACGCGCTCCACCCAGGGCAGGGCAGGGCAGGGCACAGGCGCGTCCCTGCGACAGGCAGCCAGTGTGCCCCGAGGCCCCACGTCTGCTCCCAAGGGGGTCAGAGGGGAGGGATCAGACAAGGCAACAGCGAAGGCCTCACCGACGCAAAGATCTTGCTGATGGCAGCCTCCAGTTTGTAGTCGGGCACCCGCATGTCCATGTTGGCGCTCAGCACGTAGGCCATCGACTGTGGGGAGGCCACGAGTCACACTGGGCACGCCACGCCACGCCACGCCACGCACAGGCGGGGCTGCTCCAACCTCCCCGCCCTTGCCCCCTTCCCGGTCTGGCGTGCCCCACCAGGCCCCGCGTCTCCATGCAGCACACGCTGGGCCAACACTGAGGCCGCGCACCCTCAAGGCCCGGCTGGGTGGCACTCCTGCGAGTGGCTGGGCAGCCCACGCGGGCCAGGCAGAGGGGTTGGACCATGCCCGCGCCCTGCGGGGAAACACCGGGGACTGCACGGCCACCAAGAAGAGGCAGGTTTCAGGGTGCACGCCCCAGCCTGCATGCCCCGCCCCCCCTCCCCGCCCCGCCCACTCCACGGTGGCCGTTGCGCTCAGTGGCCCCTCTCTGGTCGCACTGAACAGTCGCTCCTGGGCCAGGGCCCTGCTGACCCAAGCGCCTGTCCAGTTCAGGGCTCAACCGGCCCTGATGCTCCCCGGGACCTTTGCCCACCAGGATTCACTGCCATGGCGGCAGCAAGTCCCGCAGGGTCCAAGCCCCGCCGGGCCACGTGGGGCTGCCCCGGCCGCCAGGCTGGGCCCAGGTGCACTGCCCACCTCAGTGACATAATGCAGCATGGCCATGTGAGCGATCTTCTCCTGAATGGCGCCGTAGCGGCTGATCTTGCTCCCAAACTGCGTGCGTGCAGCAGCGTGCTCGGCCTAGCGGTACAGGAGAGGGAGCGTGAGCCCCGTGACACGCCGGCGCCACACCCCAGGACCCCGGCCGCAGAGAGAGAAAGCCATCTGCTTCTCATCCAGGCTGCAGGACTCGGCCTCGCAGCCCAGCACAGACACCGAAGGGCCACGTGCTGCGCCGCACCGCTGCTGCAGGCCACGCCGACTGCGCAGGAGGGGCTCCTGTCAGCCTCCGCGGTCGCCTGCAGCTCCCTCCGTCTCCCGTCTGGCCACCTCTACTGCTGCCAACTCCACGGCACCCTCCCGTCAGGATCTGTGCCTCTCCCATACCCAGAGGGGCTGCTCACTCTCCCTACGTAGGGGCCCCAAACACCCCTCCCGTGGCTCCACGATCCCCCAGCTGCCCACGTGCCAGGACCTGCCCACACTGCTACTTAGGATCAGCCACAAGGACTGCTTTTGCACCAGCAGGCACAGCAGCAAGGGAGACGAGGGAGGAGCAGTAGCAGCGTGGGTCATAGCCAGGCTCTGCTCCTCCCTCCCAGGACCCGTCTGCCCGCTGCTCGTCTCCCCGCCCGCGCCGGGCCCCGGGCACAGACAGCAGAGAAGGAGCAGGCTGCAGAAGCTGGGGCTGGCGGGTTCCCGTCAAGGCCCTGCAGCTCTTGCGGGAGCGCGTATCGGGCTGTGCGGAGGGGCAGAGCACCTGCCACGCCAGCAAGCTCCGTGGAACCGCTGGCGGATGCACGGGCTCTGGCTCGTGGATGGCTTTGCTATGAGGAGACACAAAGATGCCGTTCACAAGGAGTCTGACTCCCGCGGCGCGAGAAGGCTGGGTTCCTGAGCTCAGCACGGTGCTGATGGGACTTTGGCCAGCGCTTCACCCAACAGCGCTACCAGCTACACCCGTATGCACACACGCATGCTGTGAACGGACTCGCTGAGTACGCGGCTTCCGTGACGGTTCCTGACTCGGGCTCCCTCCATGTAAATGCTGGCTAGCTGCCAAAGCCAAACCCGTCCCACCTCGTGGCAGGACTAAAACAGCTGACCTCTGTGCTGGGCACGCAGAGGTGCGCCACCCTGTGAACAGCCCCAGCTGCCGGCGCTATCTAACGGATGGAAATAGCAGCACACACCGCCTTGACGATCACACCCCGCATGGTGCCGGCCAGGGCAGACGCCATCCCGAAGCGCCCGTTGTTCAGGATGTTCATGGCCACCTTGAAGCCTTTGCCGAGCTCCCCAAGCAGGTTTTCCGCAGGCACTTTCACATTGTCGAAGTGCACCTCCGCTGTGTTGGAGCACTTGATCCCCATCTTCTTCTCCGGGGGGCCACTGCCAAGATAAAGCAAAACGTGACCTTAGCCAGCCTCTGCCGGCCACGGCCTTTGCACCGTTCCTGCACAACTACCTGTGCGTGGGGTCCACGGCACCAGACCAGCATGGGCTGAGGCCAGTCGCGTGCGTGTGTGCATGCAAAGGGAGGCGCACAGTGACATGCAGCACTTGTGTGTGCAAAGGGAAGGTTAACACCATGTTTTCCACAACAGCTGAGACAGGTTTAAATACAGCAAGGAACAACTGTCTGTTCCTAGATGTGCTGGCACTGCCAGGCTGCACCCCGTGGCAGAGCACAGCCCAGGTCCACGCCTGCCACGCTCCCCTGGTGCAGCAGCAGGGCAGCCGGGCATCGAGGAGCGTGTAACCTGCCCGGACCAGTGTCGATGCCAGATCAGAGTCCCTGGGTCTCGGCTGCCTGCCAAGGCTTCAAGCCGGTGGCTCCCAGGCTGGACTGCTGGTGCTGCACAGTCCCGTGCACCTTTCACGTGTGTCCTTCAATGGTTGGGTGACAAAGGCAGGCTGAGACTGCGGGACAGGCTGAGGGCTGGCAGGGCCCCTGGTGCACGGCCCCGGTCCCGTACGCTGCAAGCAGCACTGACCTGGTCACACCCCCAAACGCCCTCTCCACGATGAAGGCAGAGATCTTCTCCGTCACCTCCCCTGTCCCCTCCTTCACCAGCGTCTTGGCGAACACGGTGAAGATCTCTGCTGTCCCTCCGTTACTGCGGCATAAAGCAGGCAGGGATGAGAGCACGGTCCCCACGCCCGTCTGCCACCAGCCTGGTCTCTCCCTGCCCTGGACTGAGCACTGCCCGTTCATGCCAGTACTCGTGCCCGTCTTTCTGATCGCCCTTGACTACAGCCCCTGTCTGGGGGCACTGGGAGCACTGATACAGCACATTACGCCACCAGAGAAGCACCATGTGTCTCCCCGACTGCTAGCAAGACGTAACTACCACGTATGATCCAGGGACAGTTTGAGGGCGGTGGAGGTGTGAGCTAGGTAGCTGAGCATGAGCATCCTCCCTGCACCCAACACAGCCCTCGGCTGTAGCAGCACAGCCAAGGCAGTGACCGCAAGCGTGCACACTGTGTTACCGGTCAGCTCTGTGTTCCCGAGGGAGCCCTGGCACCCAGCTTGCTGGACTCGCAAAGGACTTTTTCTATCTCCCCTCCCCACCACACCCACACCCACACCCACACCCACACACACCCCTCATCTACTCAGAACTAAGCAGAAGAAAAGTTTACTAGGCATCTCGGGCCGCACATTCCCTGGTCCCAGTCTGGGAGGCCTATTTCAACTTGATGGACTAACTCGGTTGCCGGGTTGGGGAACGCTGAGGCAAGAGACCGAGTCGGAGCGGGTACGGGCGACATTTGAACAGTGGTTCGGGGTTCATCACAGCGTCCAGCCCGTGGGAGCCCAGACCACAAATGCTGTCATACTTTTCCCGGGATGACTGGTGGAAGTCGTCCCCACAACGTTGATGAACGCCCCAAGTAACCAGTCCCCTTCAGTCTGTTAAAAGACTGCAGTACGATCTGAAAGTCATGCTGAGCTGAGGCTTGTTCACAAGAGGTAAAACACACAACACCGGTGCTGACTGCACGGTGCCAGCACGGCTAGGCCAGCTGAGAAGCCCTTCCAGTATGTCTCCTATAGTCATAATCATTTCAAGCTGGCTCCTAGCTGTCTGGCTACTCCTTAAAACCTGATGTTTTCCTGGTTGTTCATCAGTTTCTTGAGCTGTCCCAAACCAGAGAACCCCTTGGCACTGAAACAGGTAATTCATTTAAATTGAACCTGTTTCTATGACAGGATTTTCCCCGTCAGTTATAGCTTGGGACCCTCTTGATTGACACAGTTAAACAAATGCTTTGAAGAGGCTGGACTAAGGGTGTAAGAAAGCTGTAAAGCAGCACACAGTGTGCTTCAAGAGGGAGCAATCTCTCTGACTGTGTGTGTGTGTGTGTGTGTGTGTGTGTGTATTTGACTGATGCGGTGGCTGGAGGAACCCAGCCCCACTGAAACCGAGTCCTGCCAGATAGTTCCCTTGGGGGCGAGGACTCGCAGAAGGGAGAGACAGAACTCCGTACAGAAACACAAGTCACACAAGCAGCACACTGATACAATTATAACGACCCTAGAAACGTACCCTAATAAAGGAGTGCACCCCAAAGTGATGGGCAAATCTGGTAACAACTGCAAGGCAGGGAGTCGGGTCTCCTGACACAGGGCACTTCTACACCCGTCCGCCTGTGCCCACCTTGAAGTCCCATCCCCAACAGGCAAAGTGGGACTGGGTCAAGACCTGAGCAAAGCACAGGCCCGGGGCTGGGGGCAAAAAGGTGTAAAGTGAAGCCACATCCTGACTCTGCAGTGAGCACCACATCACATTCCTGCAGGCTGGTCTCCCGGACGCAAGCCCGGTCTGCGGAGCGGGACCACCGCCAGCAAGAAGGGACCTCACGCCAGCCCGGAGGAGGACGTGCGACAGAGTGGTGGGAAGAACAGCTCACAGTATCCAGCACCCTCTGCACCAGCCCCTGCTTCGGGCTGCCAGGGCTGTGCTCGCGCAGCCCAGCCCAGCCTGCAGCCCCTTTCTTCTGAGCTCCCTGAGCCACCCCCTCCATTGCAGCAGTGCCCGCACAGCCGGCCGGCCTCTGGCTGCAAGGCCCTGGCCTAGGGAAGGGCCGCGGCCAGGGCTGGGGCTGGGCAGGACCAAGGAGCCGCGGTTAGCACAGGAAGCGGGGGCTGTAACTAGCCGCATCGGACAGCACCACAGCAAGTCAGGGGGGCAGTGCCTGCTGCACGGGGGCACCGTGCATGCATGTGCGTGTGTGTGCATGTGTGCCTCTCCCTCCCCAGGCGGAAGGCAGGAAGCCGAGAGGCAAGACACAACATGACTACGTGCCACCCCCGTGCAAAGATCCCCCTTGAAGCTTTGCAAACCACCTCTGACCCTGTGCTGGGGCTGGGCTGGGCTGGCCCCACACCCCCGGGTGCCTCGAGCTGGGCAGGAGCTGTGCATCCGCCCCGAGCGCCACCAGCTCTGTCGTGCTCCCGAGCCACGGGCCCACGCTCCACCCCAGCCCGTCCTGCTCCCGCGGCACTGCTGGGCCTGCCGACCGGTGCTGCAGGCGGTGCCACTGCCTCTCACCTGATCCAGATCTTGCCCCCGTTGAGCGTGTAGAAGTTCCCGCAGGCGCTGGGCTCGGCCACGGTCCGGATGGAGGCCGCGTCGGAGCCGCTCGAGGGCTCCGTCAGGCAGAAGGCGGCGACGGTCTCGCCTGCCGGGGGAGCAGAGCCGTCACCACGGGCTCGAGCCCACGTGTGTTGGGGCACCAAGTCACTGGCCCGCTGCAGGCACCAGGATCCCGACCACAGGGCCAGGCATGCAACAGGGACCTGAGAAGGGCTACGACCACATGCCACAGTGGACAGGAGGGAACAGGCACCAACGAGCAGTGACCCAGTCCTCACCGCCCCTGCCTGGGCCTGGCTAGCGCCGTCAGGCTCCACGTAAAGAGGCAGCCACAGGATAGAGGTTTCCCACCGTCAGCCGGCAGGCTGCAGGGCTCCCCCCAGGATCGGGGCGTGCAGGCCCGTGCCTACCAGATGCCAGCTTGGGCAAGTACTTCTCCTTCTGACTCCTGGTGCCGAACAGCAGGATCCCCTTGAAGCCGATGGACTGATGGGCACCCAGGCTGATGCCCACGCCGAGGTCGTGCACACCCACCACCTCCACCACGCGCGCGTACTGCAGAGCACAAGGCCACGTGTCAGGTCGCAGCCTGGCAGCACGCGGGGCCTGGCTGAGCAGGGAGGTGCCACGGTGTGCACACACACACGTGCGAGCGGGCACGGCCCTGGGGCAGCGCTGCGCTCCGGCAGGCGAGGCACCGTCCAGCTGAGCCCAGCCGCGCCCCGCCTGGCTGCCGCGCTGTGGCTGCGCTGTCCCCTGAACCCCGTCCCCCGGGAGCCCAGTTTACTCCCCAGGGCTGGCCCAGCGCCTGCAGGTCGGGCGAGGCCGCACGTGGCCGGATCAGGCCCGGGAGATGGCTGGGCCCCATCCCAGCACCAGGCGGCTGAGCCGGGGACTCGTGCCCCTTCGGCGGAGCTGGGCGAGGTCAGACCCCAGCCCCGTAGCTCAGGCTGGCGCCCGACCCCTCTCACCTGGGTGTTGGTCAGCCCGACGCCCCCCAGCTCCTCGGGCACCTGCAGCCCGAAGGCTCCCATCGCCTTCAGCCCCGCCAGGGTGGCCTCCTCGATGCCCTCCAGCTTCTCGTTCTTGGCGGGGTCGTTCACCTCCTTCACACAGCAGAGCGGGGGGAAGGGGGGCCGTGCTGGCCCTGCTACCCCGGGCTGCCCAGGGGACGGGGGCTGCGGCAGCTACGCCCTCCCCTGGCACCGCTGGGGCAGGTCACAAGCGCCCCCCCCCGCCGGCTGCTGGGTCCCAGGGGAGGGGGTGCTGGTGACCGCGAGGACCAGGGGCCGGAGGGGGTCTGCGGCTGAGCGGGGGCAGCACACGGAGTGGGGGGGGCAAAGCCCTGCCTTCCCTTTCCCCTCGGCCCCACTCCATCCTCTCCTCCCCTCTGCCCTGGCGGGCTGGGCCGAGAGGCACGGCACAGCGCTGCCCCCCGTGTCCTCCCAGGCACCCCCAGGCCTCCTGGCCCAGGACGGGAGCCCCCGAGGACACGGCAGCCCCCCAGGCCCTGGCCAGCGC